GAAGATCGCGAATGGTGAGTTACAGATGAGGAAGCCACGGGATTGTGGCCTTAGGGTCCCACAAATGTCTCTCTGCACAGACTCGCCAGGCAGAGGGCGCCCACCGTGCACGGGGACTGGGAGGTGCGCATGCGTGCAGGTGAGCATGCGTGCAGGGCGGGGTGCGCATGCGCGCCCATGCAGGCAGGTGCGCCCATGCATGCAGGGCGGGGCGGGGACGGGGACCCTGGAACCGACTGGAGGGCCCGCAGGGTGGCGGATGTGGAATCTTCAGCCTCGGCAGCGGCGTGGACGGTCAGGTCTCTGGTCCCCTCTGCCCACAGGTGCGCGGCTCTCCCGGACCTGCCCACAACTGCCAGAGCAAGGCCTGGCAGCCCTGGGACTTGCATGGCCAGCGAATTTGGAGGAAGACGGTGACGTGTCACCCCCTGGGAGACGCCTTCAGAGTGCACAGTCCCTGCCAGGAAGGGTGTGGGGCAGACATCAGCTGCAATCTGGGGCCCGAGTGAGGCCCGAGTAACAAAGCCCAGAGGCCGCCCCTGGGGGCCACAGGAATGCCGCACCTGTGGGGGCGGCAGATTCACAGGGAGGGGACACCCTGCACAGCAGAACCAGGTGTGCATGGACAAAGCCTCCGCCCAATGCAGGTTGGGGTGGTGAGCCGTGGACCCGCGGAGGCCTTTCCCAGCGCTTGCCAATTCCGGCATCTGCATCATGTACGATTCTTATGCAAAAGGTCTGGCACACAAACACGACTTACAGCACCACACAGCCCCAAATCCCAAAGGACAAACAGGCAGCAGGAGGGAGGGCATGTGCATTATCTGTGAAGCTGCTGGGCGGTGCAGCCCTTCCACCCTGCACCCCCACTTGTCCTGGGGTCTGGGGTCTCCCCACCTGGGGCTGGCCACAGCCCACCAGCAGTGAGTCAGCCCCTGGGTTCTGCCAGCCACCGTGCTTGGCCACCTGAGGGACAGGGACATTCTTTTCTCTTCTCTTCTTTTCCCCCCTGGGGTCTTGCAGATCTGAGCAGGCCACACCTCCTTTCTGGTACTTCTCTGTGCATTTCTTTTCTTTTTCTTCTCAAAAAATGTATTACCTTCATCACTGCAGACTGTGCATTTCTTTTTCCCTTTTAATTTATTTTTTTGGAGGACAGGGTCTCACTCCGTTGCCCAGGCTAGAGTGCAGTGGCACAATCACAGCTCACTGCAGCCTCCAACCCTTGGGCTCAAGCAATCTGTCCGCCTCAGTTTTCTGAGTAGCTGGGACTACAGGTGCAGCCAACATGCCCAGCTAATTTTTTAAAGTTTTTTTAGAGATGGGGTTTCACTATGTTGCCCAGGCTGGTCTCAAACTCCTGGCCTCAAGGGACCCTCCCACCTTGGCCTCCTAAAAGCCCTGGAATTACAGGCATAAGCCATCACACCTGGCCCTGTCATGTATTATTTCAAAACAGGTTAAAAAGAAAATGATACAAGACATGAAAAAACAGCACAAGTCAGAATTAGAAAACCATGGAAATGAGGTGGCAGCACTCAGAAAAATATTAAGATCAAAGGAAAAGATGATTTTACAAATGAAAATTAAGCTAGCAGACAGGAAGGCAATTTTAAAAATCAAAACCAAATTAAGAAAAAGGGTAAGAATGATCCCTGAAAAATTGACAAATATCAAAGGTAGGCAAAGGAGTTCAAAATAAAAAAATAACAGGAATCTCTAAAAAGAAAAGAAGACCAAAGGACTAGAACAAATAATAAACTCTAATTCAGGAAAACTTTTCCTAAGAAAAAGTTTTGAGATTTTATGTTAAAAGAGCACAGTATCTTGCCTAAGAATATAATTCAGAAAGATGGATGCTAAGACCAAATCACTTATAGGGGAAAGAAAATTAGTTCATTATGAGACTTTCTGACAGCAACACTCTTTTATGTAACAATAAAATGGAATAAGGTATGTAAGATAGCTAAGCAAAGAAGAAGTGAGCCAAGCATTTGTATCCAGGAAAACTGCCATTCAAATCCTTCAAGTATTAAGAATCCAGACAAGCTTATCAATGTGTAAGAACTCAGGGAAGGTTGCTTGCGTGAGCCCTTCTGGAAGAACCCACGAGAGAGACAGTGACACAAGGACCAGCCGTGAGCATTAAATAGCGAGTTACTCGTTGAACTAACGAGAAGTAAGAGTTGGAAGGGAGAGCCCACAGCGTGCAATGGCGTGCGCTCTGATTATGCAGCCAGAGTCCCAGGCACTAAAAACTGCGTGGGGGCCGGCGGGGCGGCTCACACCTGTAACCCCAGCACTCCGGGAGGCTAAGCAGGAGGACTGATTGAGGCCATGAATTTTAGACCAGCTTCAGCAAGAGGGAGTCCCTGTCCCTACAAGAAATTAAAAAATTAGCCAGGTGTGGTGCGCATCTGTAGTCCCAGCTACTTGGGACACTGAGGAAGGAGGATCGCTTGAGCCCAGGAGTTTGAGGTTGCTGTGAGCTATGATGATGCCACGGCACTCTAGCCTGGGCAACAGAGGGAGACCCTGTATCAAAAACAAAACAAAACAAAAACAACTGCGTGGAAAGTGTCAGGTCTGGCCTTTTAGTGGCCTGCTGTCCTGGTTCTTTGCCTCCTTGCTTGGAGGAATCACAGGGAGGCCGGTGTGATGGAGTGGTCGCAGACAGGAAGCAGTTCCACACAAACAAAGAAGGTCTTTTCTGCAATAAAAGCTGTAATTAAAAATAATATTTCTGAAACTACTTGGCGTTGTTTGGATGGTGAAAGAGAGCCATCCCATGATCTCAAGAGCTTCCAAAGAAAGGAATCAAATGCTGTCTTTTCTACATAAACGTATCCCTGGGGAACCAAACTGGCCCAGTGGCTGTGCCTCTTGATGGAAGTATTTGAGTGGCTTCCGGGTCAGCATGGAAAGGGCATGGGAGTCGTCACCCCCATTCTTAAATGAGAAAAAGGATGAACAAACTAAAAATCAACAACTCCTCTTACATCTGTCAGAGAAACGGGGTCACGGAACAAGCCATGTCCCGGAACGCTGGAGCAACAGACAGGCCGACTGAGACCGTCGCGGCTTACGGACGCCGAGGCCCCGGCTGGAGCCAGCCTGGGTAGCAAAGCTCAGTGGGCAGCCAAGGAACTGGTGGAGACTAAACGTGGACTAACAGGATAACTAACAGGTAACTAACAGGAGTCCCCACGCTCTCATGAGTTTTAGCTCCAGATGCCTCACCAAGCTCTCAGGGTGAAGACCAGAGAAAAATCTCCCAGTGCTTGGGACAGAGCAAGGGAAGAAGGAGCCAGTTTGAAATATGCCCGGCACTCTCTGTTCTCATTAACCAAACGCTGCTCTTGAGGGGAACGTTTTAACCTGACTTGGGTTGTTATCAGGGTCTACCTATCAGAGTTGGACTCCCGCAGGGATCCAGGCCCCTCTAGGCTTCCACGCTGGGGAACAGTCAGCTCCAGCCTGTGATGCTTCCGGTCTCACCTAAGGGGGTGGAGGTGAAAGGTGAGAAAAGCACCTGAGAAGCCCAGACTGAGAACAAATCACAGGTCTACAGAATGCTTCTTCACCCCGTACCCTACGATCTCATCGTTGGGTTCCTACGTTAAGAACAGGGGATTACGGCTGAAAGAGCTACCTGTTTATTTAAGAAGGAATCTCTAGGGGAACCGGAAGACAACAGGGGAGACAAAAACAAGATCGGTAGGGGGAATTTCAGACTCTGATACCATAGCTACAGCAAACAGTAAACACGGCCTAACTGCGAGCCAGATAAGCATAAAACCTCACCCTACGCTGAGGCCTGTTCACCTCAGTTCCTGTGACCTAATACACCAGGTCTGGCTTTAAACAAAAAAATTACATGATATTAACTGATCAACACCTAAGTGCACATATAGTAGTCAAATTCATTGGGTGTCGGGCAGATGGGAGGGGGAGGAGGGGATGGGTATATTCACACCTAATGGTGCAGTGCCCACCGTCTGGGGGATGGACACGCTTGAAGCTCTGACTCGGGTGGGGCAAGGGCAATATATGTAGCCTAAACATTTGTACCCCGTCATATGCTGAAATAAAATTTTTTTTGTCTTTTAAATTCAAGGCATGCAAAAACAAAACCAAAAAACCAACACCTCCCCCCCCCGCCCCAACCAACCAAACCCAATCAAACAAAACAAAAATAACCACACAGTCTGCAGAGACAGCTCAGATGTGGCAGATGCTTTGCAGTCATACTAGGAATTCGCAGTGATTGCGATCAACGTGCTAAGAGGAGGGCCGCAGACCAGAGGAGACGGGCCACGCACGCAGAGCGAATCTAGAAGATGCCAGACGTCGAAAGCTCCCTCGCAGAAACGGAGAACGCCGGACGCCGCACGAGCAGCCCGGACACCGCGGAGGGAAGAACAGGGGGAGCTCTCGATAGAAACTTCCAGAATTGAGAAGCAAAGAGGAAAAAGAACGCAAAAGCGGGAGAGAGCATCCGATAACTTCTGGGACAATGAGGAAAGGTCTAACGGGAACACCAGAAGGAGAAGGAACAGACAGAAGAGCAGAAGAAATATTTGAAGTGATAACGGCTGGACATGTCCCCAGATTACAGATGCGAAACCAGGGATCCAGGGAGCTCAGGGAACACCAAGAAGGACACGTCCTAGAAAACCTACACCTGGACACGTCCCGTTCAACCCAAAGAAGTTCAAAGGCAAAGAGAGACATCTTGACAGAAGCCAGTGAGGGAAAGGCCACCTCTCCTGCGGCCTGGGCTTCGGTCTCGGCGCAGGGACGCAGGGTGGCGGGGCCTGCTCTCCCTGCCCAGATCCTGTCTCAAGGGGAACTGTCTGAGCTGAGGGGCCGGGGTTGGCACCAGAGTCCGCCCGTCGGCGCCAGCTCTTGGCGCGGCCCGTGCGGGTCCTCGTCCCGGGTGCGGGAGGGAAGCCGGCGAGTCCGGGCGGAGAGACGGTGCACGCAGGGTTCTGCCAGGCTTGCTTTGTGAACGTTTAATGATCTGGCCAAATCGCAGCTGCCCTCCCGGCCCGAACTCTTGGCCTTCCTCGGGCGTCACCTCGCCCTCCGGGAGCTCGGTCCTTCCCGGACTCAGGCGGGTGGCCCTCCCCGGGGCCAGGCCGGGGCCCGAGGCGGGTGCCGGCACTCGGGGCAGCACTGGGCCGGGCAGAGTGTGCCGCCCCTGGGGGTGCCGGGAGGGGGTGTCCCGGCCCTCACAACACTGGCGGGCCGGCCAGCGTGGCCACAAGGACAGTGAGGGTGGCCCCCAGAGCTGGGGACAGGGAGGGTACGGGCTGACGAGGAAGGGGTGTCATTTTCACAACCTCAGATATCCAATTGGCAAAGTAGGACACTCGGGCATACACTGCAGGGTACAGAGGGTTGGCGCAGCCGCGGCCCCAGCTCACGACTCCAATCTGCAACCAGGTGTGGTTGAATTCACAGACCAGTGGGCCCCCAGAGTCCCCCTGGAAAGGAAGAGGGGGTCTTCTGTGAACTTGGGAGTCCAGGCCCTGCTGCATGGGGGTGGGCCAGTGCTCCCCACTCACACAGCCTTCTCCCTGGCTGCAGCATGGCCCAGAGCCACAGGGTGAGGGCTGCTGCAGGTGTGCGGCAGGTGTGGGGCAGGTGTGAGGCAGGTGTGTGGCAGGTGTGTGGCATCCATGCCTCCTCCTGCAGCAGCACAGGTTCAGCTGCAAGGCCCCTGCCCACAGCCCGCACCTGAGTTGCCTGGGCTGGGCACCCCTGGCCTCTCTCACCCATCTGTTGGGGCACACCTCACATGCAGTCTTTGAATTCAAGATGTCCCCAGCACACAGCATGCTCGGCAGGATGAAGGATGGGTGGCCGTAGAGGAACTGGCACAAGTTCATCGGGATCAGAGGGATCTGGACCTCCTGCAGCTCGTCCGAGGAGGCGCCTGCACGGAGGAGGGTCCAGGTGAGGGCTGCTCGCCTGAGCTCGGGAGGACCAGCTCTGGGGACAGCGGGGGGGGGCCTACGGGAGGAGCCCAGTAACTCAGGGGAAGCGCCGGACCACACACAGGGAAGAGCCCAGGCTGGGACACTGGGACTGTGACATTGAGAGTAGGACACACAGGATGCCTAGAAGACTTTGGAGCCGTCTGGGGTCCCACCCCCTCCTAGCAAGGGAACCCCACAGATGCGGTCTCCCCGGTGGCTCTTCTGTTCTCACAAGAAACACTGCAGGTGGAGCAGGTCCACAGGTGAGCCCCTTTGGTGGTGAGGGGCACGGCCAGCTGCCCCCCGGGGCACCTACAACAGCACGGCCTGCTTTGCTTCTCCCAGATTAAGCAGAAGCCTCCAGCCACTGGGGAAGGGCACCACATACTGCTGTCCCCAGGGCCTGGCGTGAGCCCACGGTCTCTGGAGGAGGGGTATAAACAAAGCCCCATGTCCCTGGGGAAGCCTCTTGGGCCCAAGAACCCACACCAGTGAAAAGCACAGGCAGTGTGGGTGGGCGGGTGGCAACGTTAGGATTCTCTTGAGAGCTACCACAGGTATGAGCAGTTTTCCCCCCCGCAGGCTGAGCACGCGTGTGCCCCAGGCATACACAGGATGTTGAAAGCAGAGGGCAGAGCAGGACCCAGAGAAACTCCAGGCTGCACACTAAGTGCACAGTAACTGCAGCCGCCTCTAGAGGAATCCAGAGCCTGTGGTCCAATGAAGGTAACAGCAGCAACAATTAGACCAACACCTAGCTCAAGGACTCACTAGACTGACTCCACTCCACCCCATCCTCATTCATGGCTCGGAAGAAGAGGAATATCTGGTTTTGGGTGCAGAGTTTTGTGTCTTAAATATTGTTCTATGATATCTGGCATTCAACCAAAAACAAGCACACATACACACACAAAATGGGGGGGGGGCAAAAACAGAACACCAGACCCATTGTTAAGAGATAAAACATTGTACAAAATCAGATCCACAGATGACCCAGATACTGCAAGTATCTGACAGGGACTTTACAACAGCTGTGACGGATATGTTAAAGGAATTATTGGAAAGTGAACAACATGCATGGACAAATGAAGAAGTTAAGCAGAAAGATGCAAACTAGAAAAGAAAAGAATCAATTGGAAATGCTTGAAATAAAAACATAGTATCAGGGAAGAAAAATTCCTTTGATGGGGTTATCAGCAGACTGGGCATAGCTGAGGGAAAAAAAAAATCAGTGACCTTGAAGAGAGGTCAATGGAAATTACCCAAACTGAAACACAAAGGGGAAAAGGGTGGTGCAAGAGGAGTTGGGAGGAGCAGAAGAAAGCCAAGGTTGGGAAACAAAAGCAAACAACATAACGTGCGTGGAGTTAGTCCCAGAGGGAGAAGAGAGAGAGCACAGGACAATAAATATGGGAAGACATAATGGCCAAGAAATTTCCAAAATTAAAGGCAACCACAGATGCAAGAAGTTCAGAGAACCCCAATCTAGAATAAAACAAACACACACCCCAAAAACATTATTGTCAAATGGCTGAGAAACAGAGTTGAGCAGGAATCTTGAAGGCTGCCACGGAGGGGTAAAGTATTACTTCCAGAGGACCAAGGATAAGAGTTACAACAGGCTTCGTATCAAAAACTAGGCAGCTCAGAAGAAAATGGAGCAACCTCTTGCAAAACAAGACCAGAAAACTGTTAACACAGAATTCTGTATCTAGTAAAATTGTCTTTCAGAATTGAAGGTGGAATAAAAACTACTTCTGATAGACAAATCTGCAACTGTTATTCATTGCTGATGAAAGCATAACATGGTACCCTCAATTTGCAAAATTATTTGCAGCTCTCCAAAAGTGCATGACCAAGTAATTCCATTGTTATGCATGTACTCAAGAACAATGAAAGCACATCTGCACAAAAAAGGAAAAGAATGTTCAGAAAAGCGTTATCTGCAATTGCCTAAAACCAAAACAACTCAAATGTCCATCAACAGAAAAATGGATAAGCCAAAACAACTCAAATGTCCATCACCAGAAAAATGGATAAGCCAAAACAACTCAAATGTCCATCAACAGAAAAATGGATAAGCCAAAACAACTCAAATGTCCATCAACAGAAAAATGGATAAACAAACTTTGGTATATTCATGCTACTAACTAACTATTCCTCAAGAATAAATAAAAAGGAATTAGTGACACATAAAAACACAAATCAATCTTACAGACTATAGTGAGCAAAAGGTACAAGTCATGGTAGTACATACTGTATTATTTCATTTATATGAAGTTCAAAAGCATAAGCCTCATTAACGGGAACAGAAATTAGGGCAATAGTTGCCTTGGAAGAAAAGGTTGACTGTTAAAACAGTGGGAGAAAATATTCTGAGATGATGAAAATGTTCTATGTCTTATTTTTTGTAGAGGCAAGGTTTCACTATATTACCCAGGCTAGTCTTAAACTCCTGGCCTGGAGTGATTCTCCCAACTCAGCCTCTGGAGTAGCTGGGATTATAGGTGTGAGCCACCATGCCTGGCTTGAAAATGTTCTATGTCTTCTTCTTCTTCTTCTTCTTTTTTTCCTTGAGACAAGAGTCTTGCTCTGTTGCCCTGATATGCAGTGGTGTCATCACAGCTCACAGCAACTCCAAACTCCTGGGCTCAAGTGATCCTCCTGCCTCAGCCTCCTGAGTGGCCGGGACCACAGGGAAGCACCACCATGTCCGGCTAATTTTTTTTATTTTTAGTAGAGATGGGATCTCGCTCTTGCTCAGGCTGGTCTCAAACTCCTGAGCTCAAGTGATCCTGCCCACCTCGACCTCCCAGTGTGCTGGGATTACAGCTGTGAGCCACCACGCCTGGCCTATTCTATGTCTTGATTTGAGTTTGGTCTCAAGATACTTACATCAAAAACCAATTCTAAAAAGTTAAAACAAATAAAAGAAGGCGGAGAGAACATTCAATGAAGAGTTCAGTGAGTAGGAGACAGGACAGTTTAGTGAGTTGTGTGTCACGTGGAGTTTTTTTGTTTTTTAATTTTCAAAGGTTTGCAGGGTATGGGAGAATGGGAAAAGAGCGAAAATCAAAGAGGAAATACATATCGTCGTGGAACTGGATGGTATGTAATGTTTTCCCAGTGACCTAAATAAAGATGGGGGCTACTTCCAGTTCTTTTTGGTTTCTGGCCTAGACAGGGGCACTGTGAAATGGGGTTACGTGGCCCCAGGATCTATTCGGGGCGCTGCTGACGCAGAATGTGCTGCATCAGGCAGAGACAACTTTCTCGCTGAGCTCTGCCAAGGCAAGGCCGTGACCGTGTGGGCGCGTCTTGTGCAGAGGGCGGGGCGATCCCCAGTCGCAGGGTTTGAGAGAGGAGGCTGCCAGGGCAGCCCCGGCGATAGGGCGCAGCTGCTGCTCCCCAGGCAAGGCTGGGGCTTTCCCAGTCTGCGGGCCTCGGTTCCTGACGGGCAGCGGATTCCTATGCAAAGGGGGTCTGTGCACATGCCACGAATCGCCTGCACCCGTGTGTGGCAAGTCCCCGCAGGCGCGGAGAGACGGGCCCGGCGGGGCGGGACCACAGGGGCAGACGGACACGCTGCTGCCCGTGCCCTGCTCTCCCCGTGGGAGTGGCGTGCCCCTGGGCGTTATTACAGACGCGTGTGAACCGTGTCACCCCAAGCAAGCAAACAGTGAAAGGGGAGCACGCAGGAGCTAACCAAGACGGCGGTTTTGGAGCTGAGCATTAGAATGGATCCAGTTCTGTGAGCCCGAGGGCGAGAGAGACAGACAGACAGACAGAGAGACAGACAGAGAGACAGAGAGACGGACCCCAGGCAAGGGAAGTGGCATCCCGTGTCTCAGGAGGGAGCGAGCTCTGGGCCGCGTTTGGGGAAATGTCTCCTGAAACGAGAGAGCCTGGAGGAAGGGCTATGCCCCGGGCCTGCGGAGACGGCTGGCACGCCCGCCCCGGCCCTGCCCGCACCCCGGCGGAGGGGACGTGGGTGCCACGGGCGAGACCCGAAACGGGTGCTGCTGCTGGGATGCAAGTGGCCCTGGCTTCAGGTGGATTGAATCTTCCTCGATGTGGCTAAAAATAAAAGACTACTGGAAAACGTGGTCTCAAGCATTGCTGACTTTGAAGCAGCCACTGTCAACATCACACGCAGGAGGAAAACGTGGCGCGGCCGCACAAGAGGCTGCCGAGGAGACGGAGCTGCACCGAGAGCAGCGTCCGCGTCGCATGCTGGGCGGCAAGACGCGAATTCAGGGGACGTGAACCGTGCTGGGGGGATTCAAGCAGACGTTTGCAAAAGGGCTTATGTTTTTTTTTTTTTTTTTGAGACAGAGTCTCGCTCTGTTGCCCAGGCTAGAGTGAGTGCCGTGGCGTCAGCCTAGCTCACAGCAACCTCAAACTCCTGGGCTCAAGCGATCCTCCTGCCTCAGCCTCCCAAGTAGCTGGGACTACAGGCATGTGCCACCATGCCCGGCTAATTTTTTCCTCTCTCTCTATATATATTAGTTGGCCAATTAATTTCTTTCTATTTATACTAGAGACGGGGTCTCGCTCTTGCTCAGGCTGGTTTCGAACTCCTGACCTCGAGCGATCCTCCCGCCTCGGCCTCCCAGAGCGCTAGGATTACAGGCGTTAGCCACCGCGCCCGGCCGGCAAAGGGCTTATGTTTCTCGCTCTTCCCTGGGCAGGGTCCAGCCAGCCGGGCTCGGCCCCCCCGGCCACAGACGCAGAAACGCTATCCAGGAGTTGGAGCTTCTGTTAAAGTCGCAGAAACGCGGCCTCGGTGTGGGGAGCTGGTGGGGGGCGGGGGGAGCCCCGACAAGTGGGATCTGAGGAGAGGAAGAGAAAACTGACCTAGGAGTCTGGGAAGACGCTGGCCTGTGTTCCGAAGTGGCAGAACTGTCGCTGATGGTGACTTGGAAGGTGGAAAATGTGCTCGGTGAACTTGAGAACCCTGAAAAGGTGACTTCCAGGCCGAAGTACGGAAGTCCGGGGGTTGCTGCTGGCCGGGGCAAACTTTGCACCACAAAAGGGAGCTGAGCTCAGAAGAGAAGACGCCGGCTTTCACGCCGGGTCAGAGGGAATCGGCACAGGAGGGCGAGCAGACTCTACACGGCACACGGTGACCGTCTCAGCCCTCGAGGGGCCGGCGGTCTCTGCAGCAGCTGCTGCTCGCCTCGGCCAGGGACAGTGTGCACATACATGGGCACACGCGTGTTCAAAGAAAAATTTATGGACACTGAATTTTGTGCAGTTTTCATGTTTTGTGAAATATTATTCTTTGGCACTTTTTTTCCCCCTCAACCATTTAAAAGTGTAGAAACCACCCTAAGCTTGCAGGTCATCCAAAAACAGGCAATGGACTGGATCTGGCCTGCTGTCTATAATTCGCTGAGCCCTGTAATAAACGGAGTGGGGTTTGCTGAGTCGCAAAGTCAGATTGCTTCTGTTCTCACGTCTTTCCAGCTAGCAAGATATTCTCAAGATAAAACGAACCCTGGGAGCAGAAAGAAAATCGCATGAGACGTAGCCTCAGAATAAGGATTAACTGAGGTCGTGGCTGTTGGCCCCTCCCTCAAGTCCGTGAAGAAATTAAGAGGGTGCCTCGTGGACGGTCCCCATGAGGGACTCCAGATGTGCCCACGTG